TGCTACGAACAATTGTAGTCCAGCCAATTTAAAACATGCCGTTCTACCTTCCAATAATAAACACATCAGTGATGTGTATGTAACGAAAAGAAATATAAATCGTCAACAACATGTATATTAAAACCACAATACGAATCGCAATGTGAAGCTTGAAATTAATTTTACAACATGTGTGACCTTTCTTCTATTCATTCATTAAACAAATCTGAATTAAATGATCACTGAGTAAATTCAATCGAATATGAGCAAACTCAGCCATCATAGCATACCTGGAGAGGATTTCTAAAGTTCTTCTACTTCGAGCCAGGCTCGACAATCACGTTTTTCAATGCGTGGAGCCATAGGTTCGGTTTGGACAATTTAGTACATCATTTTCTGTTCCGTTGTGACAACTCTAGAAGACGGGCTACGATGTGACCACTAATTTAGACCCTGCGTGTACCCGCAAACGACTTTAGTTTACATGACAATAATACTGGTTTATTTAACGTATTATTAATCATGTTATCGTGGCCTAAATTTTTAATAAACAAATCCGCCTAACCACAGTTAATATTGCAGGAGAATAACTCAGTCTCCAAGACCTGTAAAAGCCTAGCCGATTCACAAATATCCACCGCGTCATTTTCTGGCTTTACAAAGACCAACTTCACAAGGGCCGTGACGGGGATTCAAACCTACGTCCGAGACCATCCCAGACGCTCTTTACAAAGACCCATTTGGGCTTGGCTTCTATTAAGGTGTGCTGAGCTTGTCTTCCCCTCAACCCTCCTCTCCCTGCATACGTCCCCCCCATCACTAGTCTGTCGTGTTCCTAGCAGCATCAGGTATCCCAGGTGGCCAACTTCCTGTCAGACCCTAACCGAAACACCCACGGCCCGGAAATGGGTACAAATCAACCGAAAAAAAAGCAACGGATATTTAGGCGGTTTGCTAAAGAAAGCCATTGTTCACAATATATGGTCAGATGAGGGACAATACGTTACCAGTACAAAAACTATTGTTCGATAATTGCTTGAAGATAAATACAATTCTCATTTGACATTACTATACATAAAGGTCCAGTTGGATGTAATATGCCGAGTGTATATATAAAGGAAACCATGTACGATATTATAAACTATATTAAAATAAAAATAATAGCCCGTATATCATATGTTATGTCTAGTTGCAATATGCAGGCTAACATTGATGCTTTGCTGGGAAATGCATTAAATGCTAGAGCACTGGTTGATACCTGGTTGATGGGGTTTTGAGAGTTCTTCTACTCCCCAAGCCCGGCCCGAGGCCAAGCTTGACTAGTGAGACTTTGGTCCACTCTCAGTCAACATATACGCATAGAAAATATATACTTAAAACACTACGAAAAAAATGCATCCTCTGATAAACTTTCTAAAGGCGAGCACCCAGAGTATAGAGAGCTGTGTGAGGGCGGGGCAACAGGTAGAGTGTGCGCACGCAGGCTCGGGGTGGGAGCAGTCGCCAAGGGCCTTCACCGCCCCTCAACCCTACTCCTAAATATAGGCCCTCACGGTCAGGTCACTTACGGGCTCACCACAGCCCGTGCTACATGGACACTTCGTTCTGAGTAGCTAAATCTAAAAACAACAACGGTCAGGTCACCTCATGCTACTTCTACTCAACATTCATTCACCTTAATCTCACCTTTTCTCGTGGTATTCAATAAATTTGCGAAAGAAGTTTACATATTAAAATGCCTTTTTTTATAACACTAATTTATAAATTAAAACGGTTTGAACACACGTTATACAAAAAATATACTGTATAATGATTCATATTATATATATTATTGTTTCGTCATATATATATTATATATAATATATATAATTATAGTAATAGAAACGATTAACAAATCGCATCTATAATACAGTGAATAGCACCTAACCCTGTGATAACACAAGTCCAACCCTTGATCTCAAATTCCATCACCAACAAAAACTTGTTATACTTTACAATAAAGAAAAAAAAATGTTGGCGAAACACAACCAATGACGGCCATGTTTGTAAAAGTCTCATTTGGATTCATCACGAACAATATTTTTATCGTGAATTACAGTAGTGCTCGGAGTAAGCTGATAACCCAGATAGTAAATGAAGATTGACGCCTCGTCATTTTAAATTTCAGAATAACTTATCTTTAGTTTCCTTGCTTTACTGTAGCCGTAATAATTTACCGGATAATGTCCTAAATGTTCGAAACACTAAATAAAAAGTCTATATAATCAATGAGTGAAGGCGGGTTATGTAATTTTATATACGATTCGTAATTAGCGCAAGCTAAGGCATACAGGACTAGCACTTTCTCTCAATATTCTGCTTTTTCTTCTTTTTTAGAAAAATAATTAACGAACCCATTCATAAAGAAACGAGGTATGGCACTGCAACTCAATACCAGACAACGTTAGACCAGCAAATACTATAACGGCTTTGCCGAAAATGCTGTATCATTAACTAAATCGAGTTCAGGTTAAATAACAGGCACATTGCACTCCCGCGCGCGCACTGGAAATTTGTGTGCACATTTGCTGTCATTAGTTTGTTTCCAGCTAAACATTTTACAATATGATTATGGTGCATCAACTACCGGATAATTAGTAACGCATGTTTTCACTAAAGCTCCTAACTAACCCTTCAGCTAAGTTTTAACACTAACAGTCACTGGCTCAGCTTTCCTATGGTCAAAATTTTGTAGACATTACAGTCTGTTCGTACGACGCGACTAATACACATTCAATGTTTGCGGTTACCGTTGCAATGCGTTCAACACCACACGTCACCGACGCCAATTCGAATTATCCACACATTTGCAAACCATTAGTTTATTTCATAAACCCAACATTCAGTTTGCATATCTGTACTGGTAGCTTGCATACATGGTTACATGTGAGGGCGGGTTGCGGCCCGTTCTTACATAACTGGTCGGGGGAATTGGCTGGCAAGTTAAAAGGTAACGGCCAACGTCAATTTACTCTGGTAATGTGGACAGACTACGGCTTCCTCGACCCACAACTGCTTCATCATGTTTGGACACATACGCGTTTGCTTCCACCTGAAGCTCAAGCAAATGTGTGTGTACATAGGGTTCGGGAGTTGATGTCAAGATCACCTCTGTACTCTCTGGCCTATTCACTTCCTGATACAATGAGCTTCGAGTCCAGTGAAGCTGTTTCGTCATTACTGACACAAGATTGATACTCCTTCCAACGCTACAAGTCAGTTCAAGCCATATAACGTCTAAGACAAATGTATACAAACTATTCTTTCCTCAAACGCTGACGTAAGTACCAGAAAAATCACTTAAATAAAAGACTTGATAGCAAATTTGCACAATATCACAGAAAGAGCATAACACCTTGTAATACCCATACAGCATATATTGCATTTACTTCTGTAACGTATTCATGTAACAAATTGAAAAAAATTACACTACTTCACTACTATAAACTACAAGGCTTATGCAGAAAACCCAATAGTCCTAATGAAGATATAAATAACATGCATGCTCAAAATAACATAATTATTAAGGACCAACCATCTAAAAGCTACATATACAAGCTTGCTTGTAAAGACAAACTTGGAATGCAATGTAACAAGAACCATTTAAAAATACCGGGCGAAACACGTAAGTTACTGGGTACACTGCGTGCCTCCGTGGCCTGTTCATGAATGCAAGCAACTGGCACGGTGCGAGTCTGACTGCCTCAGCTAAAGAGGTGAACGTGGTGACCCCTTGACCGGCGTCTACCCTACTGACCTTGCACGCGCCAGCCAGCCCACACCTGACAACTTCACCTCACAACACTAGTTCACTCAAGATTGTTCCCCAAGTGCATATTATCACAACATAAATGTCCACAATATCTGTCAAGTGTAGCATATGAACCAGGGCTGCAGAGAATACGGTTTCTTAACCCACATAGGCAACTATGATTCACTATTCTGACCTCTTTAATAGATTTCACCATAATGTTTCCATCAGAGGCTAACAGAGAACCAGAAATATGTTTAGTGCAATAAGCTAATGACCAACTCACGGGGGTCATTAAACGTTAAAGTAAATATAGGATTAAGGCAAAAGTCTAAGTAAGTAATTATCAATAGAAGGCACCAAACCGGGAAGGCTATGTAGCACCAAGGCAAAACCAAGGCAAAAGTCTAAGACATTATTATAAATTATATTACAGCTCAAGAAAGCTATACAGTAGATAGATAGCTTCGGATCGTCCTCGCCCCTAAATCAAGGAGAGCTATACGAGTGAAAGAACACTATCCTTGAAACTCTTAATCAAATCTTATTCTAATGTGTTGCTGTTAAAAATTATAGGTTTGCTATTTTAATATCGACATAGCCTAGACTCTTTAAGAAATTGTGGGACAACTAAGAAATCGAGTTTGATGACCTTGCGTGTGCCGGTAGGGCGAATTTAATGATAGAAAACCATAGGTTTGTAAATTTAACATCATACCTAGACAGTAAGGAACACACAGAAATCATGCGTATGCCTACTAAGTGACCTTCGGTGAAATTAGTGACCTGGCCAGCACCGACCTTATACGTGTGCCGGCAAGGCCAATTTAATCATGATAACATATTACACGACTGTCATATTAATTAATTAATACAGGTTAGACCGTCAGGACCTCCTTGAAGGAGGGAGGAGCGACTACTCAGAAGTGACTGTGGGAGAGTACTGACCTTATCCTAGGCCCCCCAGGACCTCCAGGGGGAGCGACTACCACTAAGAAGTGACTGGGGGAGTACTGACTTATCCTAGGTCCCTCCAAGACCTCCAGGGGGAGCGACTACCACTAAATAAGTGACTGGGGGAGTACGGACCTTATCCTACGTCCCCCCAGGACCTCCAGGGGGGCGATTACCACTAAGAAGTGACTGGGGGAGTACGGACCTTATCCTAGCTCCCCCCAGGACCTCCATGAGAGAGGAGTGACTACTAAGAAGTGACTGGGGGAGTACTGACCTTGCGTGTGTCTGGTGTATTGGTAGAGGCCAGGTCGCGCCCCGGTGGTGTGCGGCCCGACGCGCGCCCCAGCAACTTTCTCAAGCTCGACTCCACGATCTTGGAGGAGATATAAGCTCCCGAACCACTAATATCTATTTCCTCTACTATGGGTGACGCACTCATGCACTCAACTGCACACCCGAGGGCGCACTCAATTTCTAGAGGTGGAAGGCAAATATGCCTAACTAGAGCTTTCCTGATAATTTTGTTGGTTTTCCTAATAAGCTTTCCTCAAGAGATGTGACTTGGAATTCACTTCAAAACGAGCCTTTTTTTTCAGTGCACTTGTGTAGAGGAGCAATCACTTCACGCTCCTGGGAGGAGACCTTTCGCTGTCATTTCAATCATATCTGAAACGACTTGTTCTGACCTCCAATACAACTACTACTGGCAGCTTCTTAAGACAGGACATAGACTCTAATAAGACGATGGTGTTCCGCGAGTAATCCACGCTGCTCCACACCCACCCACTCATGCAGGAATCTTGTAACGAGGGGGAGAGAGGCACACACCGTTCACTCTTTTTCCAATTAATTTCACCTAGTGCACTAACCTTCAACGTAGGTCATAGTGAAATTCAATATAAGCCAAAACGCACCACGGGGGTTGAATTCTAAGACTTTTACGGGCGTTTGGCTGTTCTGCGTAAAGCACGTAGTTGGATTCTATTTCTGGCGCTCTACCAGAAGCAATAATTATCACACGTGGGGAACAATTTTCAGCTTGGTGTATATCCAAGTAAGTGTAAAAGAGCCTTGTGGTGAGAGAGGGCAGTCTCGTACAGTCCTCCTCCCAGCACCGTCACGTGTGAACTGCAAACCTAGACTCGAAATGACTCGCTGGAGGCTGAGCAGCAAACTCGGTTGCCAGTAAGCATATCTCCCCCTTTAATACAACCATTCCATTCCTCTTCAAAATATTTTCCATATTAAAATCAATACCCTACATATAACCGACATTTATAAATGTAAATAAAAATAGTTATTTTAGATATAACTAGTCAAACTACATTTTAAGATAGAAATATGGCAAGAGCCACGAGCGACCCCAGCCTTCGACAGCGGTCCTGATGCCAGATACGTCAAGATGACTAGCTACACAACTAATCTCTAAATTACTAATCTGCTTTACTAATACAAAGACTCGGTTACAATAACTACGGCCTTATATATTTAGCGCTTGGTTACTATAGGCTAGCGTATTATGTAAGGCGAATCGAAGAAGTAAGTGGGAAGAAAGAGCACAAGGAAACACAGCGCTGCCCTCGCTGAGAATGTGTTCTATGCCATGGCCTACCGCGAATGGGAACGGGGGGACCCAGAGCTGAGAGAACCAAGGATACACACACACGCGCACACGCACACGCACACACACACACACACACACACACACACACACACACACACACACACACACACACACACACACACACACACGTACACGCGCGTCACTGCCCTTGCCATCTCTAGCATGAGAGCACGTTATCCCTTCCTTCCTCCTTGTCCCAGCAGGAGTAGCACATTCTCCGCCACTTTTCAGCGCCGGTAGAAACTAGGTAGTAGCATTGAATGATAAACCACGATGCAAGAACACGCCCAGGTGTAAATCAGCCCTAGGTTACATGAAGGCTGCATCTTAGCCTCGGCCTATTCTCGATCTAATGCTACTTTTTGCTAACAAAATGAATGAACAGTCTACTTAGAAATCACGGCAGCTGAAGATACATGATTTAAGTTCTATTCTTGCATTTGACACTCCACTTTGGTGTCCACCTGCCTCAAGAAAGCGAAAAATATATACGTTTGTGAACTAACATGTAGAACATATGTGTAATTCGAGATTAAAATATTTACAAATGCTATGGAGCATTAATTAATAACTGAAGGTATGTTATTTTTAACCATGACTCGCAATAGTACATAATGTGCTCGTATATAATGTTAATCTGGGAGGGCCGCATATAAACCGTGCTCTCACCCGGTTGGGCCACACACACACCATGCTCTCACCTGGGTTTTACGGGCTCACCATAGCCGGTGCTACATGGACACTTCGTTCTGAATAGCTAAACCTGAAACAACAACAACATCACCCGGGTGAGCCACACACACATCCCATGTGTTCACAAGTTTTTTCTAGAATGTCTATGAATGAAATAACAAGGTTTTTGCCCTTCTTGCAGGTCGGTGTTCAATCCCCGACCATCCAAGTGGTTGGGCACCATTCCTTCCCATCATCCCATCCCAAATTCTTATCCCTACGTCACTTCCAAGTACTATATACAATAGTAATAGCTTGGTGCTTTTTACCCTGTCGTAGCTCAGTCGATTAAGGCAGTGTCTGGGATGCTCCCGGACGCAGGTTCGAATCCTCGTCACAGCCCTTGTGGATTTATTCTCCTGATAATTATTTTACCTCCTTAAAGAATTATTACTATTATTCTTTAAAAACAAATTATATTATTCAAATACAAAATTAATAAACCAGTCAAAATAGTCCAAGTTCAACAGAAAATAAATAAATTTTATGCAGCCTAGCGTAACTTTTATTTTATATATAAATGGTGAAACTCCTGTTTCTTTATGCAGGCGATGAGAATGCAATCGACTTGAGAATGATCCAGGACGGACCGAAACGTCGTCGTCCCTTCACCTTCTAGTGTGTGGTCTGGTCAATCCTGTTTCCTTAAATCTCCCGAATTTCATTCTTGTTCTGTAACACTGCAGACTGCTAAACCAAACAGTCTGGACGATACGGTGGTGGTGTCTGGACGGATTCAAGTCACATCTCAAACCAGACGCTACGTTATCTTGAGGTTATCTTGAGATGATTTCGGGGCTTTTTAGTGTCCCCGCGGCCCGGTCCTCGACCAGGCCTCCACCCCCGGAAGCAGCTCGTGACAGCTGACTAACACCCAGGTACCTATTTTACTGCTAGGTAACAGGGGCATAGGGTGAAAGAAACTTTGCCCATTGTTTCTCGCCGGCGCCCGGGATCGAACCCGGGACGATAGGATCACAAGTCCAGTGTGTATGTATACGTCAACAGATGTGAAAACTAGCCTAACCTTACCCAATCCAACCGAACTGAGCCTAACACAATCGGAACCTAAGAATGCATGCGGTTTTTTGCCAAGAGAAAAGGTGTTTTTTCAAATGGTCTTGTGTAGGATTTGACAATACCCCCGTCTGGATATATCATTTGCTCTCTGCCTCTAGTGCAACCAAGGACAAATCTGAACAAACAATGTTGATGTAGCATTGAATCAAAGTTGGCTACGTATATCCAGCGCTGATCAAATGTTGTTTGACTATATATATTTCGCGCAGGAAACCCTGATTAATCAAAGGTAATCAAACGGTTGCTTACACTGTGGATGTTTGGGAGGACTCTCGCGCCGTCGCCTTTTCTACTTTTTGATTATTTTTTTTACTTATCATGTCTAGGTAGTCGAGGACCGGGCCGCGGGGAAGCTAAGCCCCAGAATCATCACAATCAAGGCAGCGTCTGGGATGTTTTCGGACGTAGGTTCGAATCCTCGTCACGGCCCTTGTGGATTTGTTCCCAGAATCATCATCATCATCATCGCAAGGCAGGTAAAAAATGTGAGTTAACTATCTAAAGCTTCTTCCGGCAACCATTGGATATTTAATAAAAAAAATAACAGTAATGCTGATATTATGATCACACACAAAACGCCTCACATTAGGTTTCATTAAAATATACATGCGAACAGAAATTTAAAATAATTAGAATAGCAATTGCAAATATATGAATTAATTAGTACAGACATTATTTTCCTAAACATTTGACGTATATCGTTAACTCCAGTATTCACCTATTTGTATTCACCTATTTGTACTTGCTGGGGTTGAGCCCTGCTCTTTCGGCCCGCCTCTCAACTGTCAATCAATCAACTGTTACTAACAACTATTTTTTTTCAGTGTTTACCAATCTGTGCACAGTTAATTTTGATATGGACCTATGACACAAATGATGAGAAATTGTTGAAAGTTCATCGGAATGTATTAGGTTTGAATTAGTGTTTATGCAGCGCGGATTACTGACACACCAGAGCCTCGCTATGTTCTCTCCAGCTGTACATTAAGCGTCTTTTGTCCAGTTTTGCATCAGATACAGTGCATCTTCTGTTCACCTCTACATCAGGCAGATACAGTGTATCTTCTGTCCAGCTCTGCACCAGATACAATGCATCTTCTGTCCAGTTTTGCATCAGAAATATAAATTTGCCCTCCAGTATTGAGCTAGGCTGTCATGGCAGCTGGCTGCTACATTGTATACACCATTCAACACTGCAATCACCAGCTATATATAAAAAGGTACACAAAGGAAATCATACAACAGCTGCATACCGAGTCCGAACAAGACCAACAAGACCAAACAGAAGACTTAGGACTGCACAAAGCTTCTGCCTCCAGCCCGTTGGGGTCGGTGGTTGGAGCCTTTTCTAGCACCCCAAGTGAATAAAATGAAACTACTTTGGGAATTTGTAATGAGTATGTTATGATATCGAGATTCCTAAATGCTACATTGGGAATCATAAAACACATGAGTGTGTTTTATGATATCGAGATTCCTAAATGCTACATTGATATTAAACTGTTTTAGTAATTTAGGAATTTCATTGAAGTTATCATGAAATGGCAGAATTCTTGTATTGTTAATATTAATTTCTTCTTTCTTTTTCAAACTAAAGAAAGTGTTACGAGCAATTTGGATGGATTTATCAATAAATGACTTAGGGTATTTTAAATTGAAACCTAGACTATAAATGGCACTAATTTCGTCATCTAAAACTCAGCATGAAATTGCTGACCTGGAGAACGTACAGAAATATTTTACCATTCTCTTCCTTTAGAGTAAGAAATCTCTTACTCGAATCCATTCAATAAATCATCTCAATTACTGGGAGGGAGGGAACTATCAGGAAAAAACGCCAAGCCATTATTTATTACGGCTATATAGCACTTGGAAGGGGGGTCTGGATAAGGGTTTGGGATGGGACGGGGGATTTTTAATGGCGCCCAACCACTTGGACGGTCGGAGATTGAACGCAGACCTGCATGAAGCGAGACCATCGCTCTACCGTTCAGCCCAAGTAGTTGTACTGGGAACAATTAAAATAATATGAAGAATGGAAAATGGAGAATGGTCGCCAGCCCTTCTATGGCTACTGACTTAGAACCCAACACATCCAACGTGTCGGAAACTGTTCTTTAGCAACACCTTGGATCATCAGGTCTTCAAAGTTCGTCAGTTTCATAGTAAGCTTTGTTGAGAAATTTAGTTTTTGATGTATAGGACTGAAAAGCCCCACTTAATTTAGCGATTATTCTAGAATGGAGAAGTTGATTGGAGGACGAAGCAACTTTTGAAAAAACTTCGTCTAGTTCAAGTATGTTTATTGAGACAAGAAAAAATACATCTCAAAGGGATAGAGTAGCTTAGGCTATTTCTACCCTCTTCGTCTAGTAATTTATTAGTGAAAACTGTTCAAACTCTCAGTTGCAATTTGGTGTAAGATTGAAAAGATCTACCTAGCCTAATTTAACTAGGGTTGAAGAGGTTCTTCGTTCGAAAGAACTATCCACTAGTGATGGCAGTGTTCAACCCAGTGTGGTGGAAAATGTTGAAACAAAAGCTAAAGAGAAATGGCTTACTCAAAGTAAAGTTGAAGATTTAGTTAACAATACGATCATTATCTTTGATTGTAGTCGGTGAATACGTATTGAGCAACATGCAGTGTTAAAATATTAGGAGTTTGTGTTCAAGGGGGCTATTGCTTTTCATTGAATACTTGGGACATCGGCAAATT